GCTACACAAGCTAGTAAAAAAGCGATGTGGTTGAAGATGGTGCTGGAGGAACTCGGCTATGAACAAAATAAAATATCTTTATTTTGTGACAGTTAGAGTGCTTTGCATTTGGCAAGAAATACATCCTTTCATTCAAAGACCAAACACAATAGAGTTTAGTACCACTTCGTTCATGAGAAAGTGGAAGAATGAATAGTGGATATGCAGAAAATTTACACCGAAGACAACCTAGCAGATTTTTTGACAAAATTAGTCAGTACTAACAAATTTATTTGGTGTTGATCCTCTTGCGATCTGACGGAGACGTAAAGAAACATGAAAATGGAAAGATAGAAAGAATGATGTGAAGATATGATTGATACTCAATCAAATATTCAAGTGGGAGATTGTCAGTCGCCTAACAATCCAAGCACTGAAAGCTTGGGCAGCCACAAAGTTTGAGAAATGAGAGAGTGGGCCCCATCATCATAAATCCTTAAGGAAAAACACTATAAATAGGCTCTAAATCCTTAAGGAAAAACTCATCCCAGAAACAACTCCTCAAATAGAAGAGTGAGAGGAAAAAAAATTAGAGAGAGTATCTTCTTGAAAGAGATATTATAATTCCAGAGTTTTCTCCTCATACTGGATTCTTCTATCCTTACTCGTGGACGTATGCAATTTTGTGATGAACCACGTAAATCTGTGTGTCCATCTTTTATCTCTATTTTCACTACTATTGCTGTGATGCTGCTCTATTGGCCCCCAGGTTTGTCCCAACATTCTTCTTGATCTTAAGCTCTAAAAGATTGCGAATACAATAAGTGGACCGAAAATGCGAGTGCTAACTGCGAAAAATTAAAAAAAAAACAGTAGAAATGAGTGCTCACCAATTTTGGTGCTCTTCTTATTTGACTGAGAATTGAGCAATGATTGGGTTTCATCTTGGCCTCTTTCTTCTCGCTCTTCACTGGTCGGAGTCCTGCCTTCAACATTGCATGCTGCTTCTCTAGGATTCTCGATCTGTGGACCCACTCCATCTTGGCCTCCTTCTTCCATGGCTGAGCTCTACTTTCTTAATGGAGATTCTTTGAATTTTGGGTTTTTTCCCCCTCCTTTGATTGATGGAGGAGATCAGTGTTAGCAAGCAGTCGTATTTATGGAGTGAGGAGAGCGCGGGGGCCTCGAGGAGCGTGGTGAATCGCAACCGTTGATTGGGCCTACTAGCAGTTTGACGGTTATCGCGTGCACGAGGCCGTTAGTGGCCGTTGATGGGTTTGTTATGACGAAGAGCGAATAGGAATCTAGCCCAACAGCCCTTCATTTTATTTCATGGGAGAGTGGGCCCCAACCTTCGGTGTGTTTGGTAATCGAGGTGTTTGTTTTTGTTGTGTTTTTTAGAAAAACACCATGCCATGGTATTTTTTTCAAACATGTTTCGAAAACACCATTTATAGTTATTATTTATAAAGCGGCGGCGGCGGCGGCGGACGGGCAGGGGGGGGGGCGGGGGGGGGGGGTGGGGGGGGGGGGGGGGGGGGGGGGGGGTTGGGGGGGGGTGACCGGCGGCCGGCGACGGGATCGAGGCGGCAAGCGACGACGGCGCAAGCGACGCGGGCGTGCCGACAGGCGGAGGGCGCCAGCGACGGGCGTCGACGCCGACAGCCGACAGACGGTGGCGACTGCCGGTGGCCAGTGGGTCGTGCGCAGCGGGAGGCGAGCGGCGGCGACAGACGCGGACCGCGGCGGCCGCAGGCGACGGAGGTCGGGGTGCGGTGGCCAGGGCGGTGCCGAGACGGCGGCGGTTCACGACAAGTTAAGCCCGGCCCGAGGCAGCCGGAGCGACGGGCGGGCTGGCGGTGGCCGAACAATAGCGGATGGGCGCGGCTGGCGCGGCGACAGACCGGTGGCGCGGGCGCGCGGCTAGATAAAACAGAATCTCAAAACACATTTTTGGTGTTTTGAAAAAAGTGTTTATTTTTTGGATTTTGTAAATGATCAAGTCAAAAAAACGCCACGGTTGCCAAACACGTTTTATTGTTTTTGTTGAAAACAAAAATAGAAACGGTAAAAACGCCACGGTTGTCAAACGCTCCACAGTATTCTATGTTTGTTGCTTAAGGTATCGTTTGGCAAATGTTTAAGTGAAGGGTTAAGGAGACTTAACCCTTTCTTAACCTGTCAAACACAAAAAATCTATGCAATTGTTTAAAATGAGTTAACCCTTCATAATTTGGCAAACATAAAAAATATAGAAGGGTTAAGCTAACCCCTCCAGATGGATTAAAATGAGTTAACCCCTCAAAATGAGGGGTTTACTAATACTCCTATTTAGAAGGATTAAGAGTTAACCATTCTAATTATAAAGAAAATAGTCAAAATTATTGTTATTCCCAAACATTAAAACTGGTCACAATGACTAAAATAAAACTTATTTAACGTGTTAATAATTTAGTCCTTCAGATTATAGCAAATAGACTAAGTACATTAATCCTTATTTTTAACCCCTCTTTCTTAATCCTTTGTCAAATGGGACCTAAGGTACCGTTTGGCAAAGGGTTAAGTGAGGGGTTAAGGAGACTTAAGCCCTTCTTAACCTGTCAAACACAACAAATCTATATAAGGGTTAAAGTGAGTTAACCCTCCATAATTTGCCAAATATAAAAAATAGAGAAGGGTTAAGTTAACCCCCCTAGAGGGGTTAAAATGAGTTAACCCCTCAAAATGAGAGGTTTATTAATACTCCTATTTAGATGGAATAAGAGTTAACCCTTCTAATTATAAAGAAAATAGTCAAAATCATTGTTATTCCCAAACACTAAAACTGATCATAAGGGCTAAAATAAAACTTATTTAACAGGTTAATAATTTAGTTCTTCAGATTATCAAATGGGCTAAGTACATTAATCATTCTTTTTAACCCCTCTTTCTTAACACTTTGCCAAACGGGGCCTAAGGGTCTAATGACAGCAGTGGGTGCTAATTATCCTTTTCAATAAGTGCGGTAGTGAGGATGTAAATATTCGGTAGACTGCAATCATTACACATTTTTACCTAGCTAGAAATAGAATTTCCAGAGAGAGGAAAAAAAATACTTACGGAGAGAACCTCAGAACTTAATGAATCATTCACGCTGAGAATAGTCAATAGGTTTCAACTCAAATTACCTAAACTAGACAGAGGTATGTTTTCATTGTTGATTAATGTTTTCAATTTCTTAGAGATAAAACTGTACACGAGGTCTGAGCTCCTAGGGTTTCATTAAAGAGATAATAATTAAACAAGACACGTGCTACCACTTAAGTTGACCAACCCCTTTTCAGCTCCAGTAAGGGGTTGTTTGGTTGTTGTTGGTAAATTTATGTATTTATGACATAACTTGGAAAGTTGTTATCCACCTTATCAATTTCACTTTTTTATACTTTTCTTTGTTTGTTTTTTATTTCATTGGGATCATAAATTGCTTGTTTGGTTTGTAAATGTAACTTTAATTGTTTGTTTGGAAAGTGTAAAAAGTGGTCCCTACTCAAATGATCATATTGGTTGGAATTATTTTTTATTATTTTTTCGTGACTTCAATGTCAGCTTTCTCCTAAAATCATGTCTTTTTTTTATGAAAACACTTTACAAGCCACATCAGCATATGAAATCACTTTACACTATTTTAACAACTACAAATAAACAATTAAAAGTGATGAAAGCTGACACTGGGACCCACTGTTTTACACTTTCCAACCTTTTACATGGTAAAAACATACAACCAAACAGTCCCTAAGCCTCTTGTCAACTTCAACCAATCCCACTGCAGCTCCAGTAAACCCCCCTCCTACCGAGCCTCTTGTGGGCTTTGACCAATCCCTCTTGGGCTATGTTAAATCCCTCGTCATATTTGGCCCACTTCTCATCAGCTTTGACGAACCCGTGATCAAATACCGCAAGGCTTTTATCGCCTTTCGGCAGACCTCTTTACCGTCTTACACCGGTCCCTTGTTAGATCCGATGAACCCACAGTCGTAGCCCTTTAAGCTCCTTGCCGCCTCCGGCAAAATTACCCCCTCCAGATTATTAACTTAGAAAAAATTATCCTCGAGTTCAATAAACCATCAATTATGATATGTTTGCAGATTTAATTATCCACAAAATAGTCAAAAATTTACCCGTCGTATCCGATAAAGTAAATACTTTGTTAATATT